GGACAAAATACAACAGACTGGATCTTTGTTACCAGCAGCTGCTTTCTTCAATCTAAATACAATCCAGCCACAGTTTAAAAGACAGAAAATTCAATTTTTGGTGAAATGCTGAACTTTGAAAGGAATGGCTGCTCTGTGTTTAATGAAAACAATCGAGCCGACATAAATACTTCCAGCAGTTGAGCAGCCACCTTTGTCACATACTAAGATGGCCTAAAGATTCCTGCAGTTTCTGATTTACAGACTAGAGGCCAGTTTCTCTTAACTCAAACGTCTTGCTTCTACTTTTTAAGATTCTGAAAGTGTTTTCTTGTTTTTTTTTGTCTCTAATTCAGAATTAAGTAGAAATCTGAATTGTTTCATAAAAACTTTCTGTTACTCTGCAGATTTTCATCACTCCCATTCTGGTTCCTTAGTAAATATTCATTTTCTGTCTTTGTTGTGTCACAGATTGAAACGTATTCTGCAGAATCTATACTTTTTTCATTGATCTTTATTTTATTGTTTTTCTATTTGGTGTATTTTTTTTATCTTATCGTGTAGCTAATAATACTTTTAAAAGTGTTATGGGTTAAAGTTTTACATAAAATCGATAAAAGTTTTTCACATAGTTTTTATTCTGATTTTTTGTGTTTTTATATAATAGGCAAACTTTTATGTGATTTATTCTGAGATTAGTTTAATCTTTTAATTTGTTTTGTCAAAAGAAGAAACATTCACTGATAACGGGTTGATGCTAAACCAACAGGAAGAAAGATGAGCTACATTTTTATGATAAAATGAAGAGTGTTGAGGCTCCTCTAACCTCCTTTATTTCATCTCGGAAAAATGAGTGTTCTTGGGGGGGAGGGGGTTGGATAATGGGAGCAAGCAATGGGAGAGCTCATTATCTGGCAGACCATCTGCTATGGGGAGGGAGGACCTGTCTGTCCGGCCCAGACACAGACCCTCTGAATAGGCCTGCACTTGCACTGAAATGTTCCTGTAAGTTTGAGGCGCGCATCTTCTGCCTGTGTCCAGAACCTGCTCAGGTCCAACAGCAGCAGACATGATGATGATGATGATGATGATGATGATGATGATGATGATGATGATGATGATGATGGGCTAGTTTCATGTTTAGGATCTTTGACTCTTTAGATGAGGAGAAAGGGATGAAGTTGGGGCTTCAGGGCAGCTTCCAGCTCAGGCTGAGTGGGAGAAGTTCTGTCTGAAGCAGATGCTCTTTGTTGCAAACCTCGGTTATTGTTGTTGAAAGCTGACACGCGGGGCTCCAGCTGCCCTTCCTATTGGCTGTCGGTCAGTGTCAATCGCGTGGCTGGCTCCGCCCCCCGTGGACCTGCTGAACTCCGGGAGTTGGGCTAAAGTTCTCCAAAGTTTTGTCGCTCAGAAGTTAAAGTCGCCTGCGGGACTCGGTGTCTGCGGGACAGAAGAGACACGCAGAGGAGGAAGAAGAGCGCAAACATGAAGCTGTGCCGCACTTTTCTGGGTTCGTAGCTCTCCTTTTCAGCGCTTTTTGCGCAACTTTTACAGATTAACTTTGTGTTCCGGTATCTGCGCAAATAAAAAGTCAGCATCATCATTGTGTGTTTTTAATTATAATGAAAACTCAGCATATTCTTCTTATTTTGTGAAATGCCTTAAAGCTGTTGTGGAGAAGATTAAACAGATTAGAATCAATCTTTACCAGTCTGATCTGTTCAAAGTTTGCTAACCGATTGATTTAAACTTTTAAAGTAAAATAAAAACTGAGCTTTGAGTCTTTTTTGTGGGGAAAAAGCTAAAAAGAAAGAAAAGCGAGTCTAGACAAAAGACAGTTGGTTCCCTAGGGGACCGTGTGGCCCCGGTACCGCAGGGACAATGCCAGGCTGCGGGCTTATTAAAAAACTTTTTTTTGTTGTATTAGTCTGTCGGCTTGTTCCATCTGTCGAGGGACTATAGGGGCCTCCCCCGGTCCCAACCTCAGCGCCCAGTCAGCTGCTGCCCCCATGTAATATTTATACTGGCTGCTCAGCCTCACACAATATATCCATAAGAGCTGGGAGGCCTTGGTGCCATCTGCATCCACCACTTCAGAACAACAGAGGAAAAGTTTTCCCAGCTGATGTTTGGCTGCAGCCTGATCCCCCCCCCCCAAAGAAAGCTGCCTTTAATTATTCAGCTTCGGTTCTGATCTCAGAAACTCTTCTGTTCCTTTTTTAGTTTAGGAAGCAAACTGAGCTGATTTCAGTTTCTTTGATTTTAATGTACAAACTTTTGGATTAATAAAAGCCTTAGATGTTTTTTTTAAAGCTTTATTTTAGTTTAAAAAAAAAACAAACATGATAAAAACATTTATTAACTCTTAGTCTTATAAGAACTTTAGTTTATTTCGATTTATAGGATGGAAAAATAATTCAGTTGGAAAGATACACATCTAGTCTGAAATACTTAAAATGAGTTTTAAAAAGCAGGACAATATTTAAATGTTTTAGGATCAAACAACTTTCAAGGTCATTTTTTGTTGTTCACTGTAGGTTAGCATAAATACAATAAAAACATTTCATCCAAATAAAACTTTATATTATCTTGCTGTTTAGTTAACTTTTTTGTGTTTAGTTTAAATTTAGTCTGTGGTTCATTTTATCTAAAGATTCCTAAAGCTGATTGTCCTCAGCTGTTGAAGCAGCTCCCAAACAAAAGCTCTTTGTTTCCTCCACGGAGCTCTGGAGCTCTCCAAGGTTCTGAAGTCAGATGCTGACCTCAGCCAGCTTTGTTGGAGCTGTCCACAGTCCTGAAATCCACAGTCCTGAAATCTGCTCACACTGCAGGAGCAGTTAGAGTGTATTTCTCAGTTTCTTTTTCTATCTCCTCTCCTATTTCAAACTTCACAAACTAACATGCCTGGGACCTAACTTCCTACTTTCCTCTGTGCCAGGGATCCCCCCCGCCCCCCTTTGTTTATTTGATTGTTGACGCTGTTGTTGCTGCAGTTGTGAATCCTTTCTCCCCTCTCTCTGCAGCCACAGTCTGAAATCATACTGATGGCGGCGTGCACGGCCCGGTGATTGATTTCAGCTCCAATGCATAACAATGGGATTGCACAAAAAGAGCCTGCTGCAAAGAGATAAGAATTTAATAGAATTTCAGAAAGCTGAAGGTTGGGCTTTTTGAATATTCCCTGTGTGCGTGGCGTGGAGACAGAAGATAAAGGATGGCATTTGTGGTGACTATTCTCAAATGGCTTGTAATGAATGGTTGTCATTTCCTCTAATGGTCTCAAAAGCGCGGTGTGAGCAACATTTTGGCGCTGATTCCAAGTTGCATCGTCAAGATTTGCCGTTTGTTGAAATTGATCAAAAATCAGTTCCCCACTCTGATCAGTCTTTTAGCTGCTTTCCCACTCTGATAGTTCCAGCTGATATCCGCTGTTTCAGCAGTGCATAAATAATTTCCAGCAGAGTTCCCTCAGAGATCTGCCACTTTGCATATAAGTCGTTAAACCCCCCACTTTCAATTCAGAGGAGTTATCAGATGCTGTCATATACAAACTCTCCACACAACTGCAACATCAATTCTCGGTCCGAGGGGGAAAAATCCTTTCTGAATGAGCTTCTGGATAGTGGCAGCACAAAGGAAGAGCAGGGAAGCCAATCTTTGGATTAAACTCCATAAAAAACATTTCAGGTTTTTATTTAGAGGCTCATCAGCCACCACTATCCCCCCATAATAACATGCTCATTTTGTTTTCCAAACTCAATCACTCCTTGCTTTTTAATTAACTAGTGAATTTTATGGATTGCTAAATGTATCTAAAATCATTCACCCTATTAAAAATAAAACACAGGATAAGGGATCTGATCTGTTTACTTTAAAACTAATCAAGTTTATGTAAACCGATGAGGATTGTATTTGGCTAAGGCCTGCCCAACCTTTGTCTAACATTATAATATTTGAGCTACTGCTGTATTTTCTGATGGGAGGAAATATTTAATAGAACAAGCTTGACTTTTGGAAGATAATTAACAATCTTTCAGAAAGTATTACATTTACATTTCATCAGAGATCATAGCTTGTAAATTTGATGATAGCTGCTTTCTGATAACTTTCGATACTGATTTTAAAAAGCAGCTCCATCAGATTTGATCCGCTTCTGTTGTTTGTTTTACCTTTTATAGAACCATAAGGCTCAGATGTTTACACCAACTGTTTTAAGTACCTACCATCTATCTACCAAGCTAAACTTAAGGGCTAATTTAAGTCTTATGGTGAATACATTTTCTGTAATGAAGCAAAAATAGAATTTTGTGTCTTCCTTCATTTAGTCGTGTGTAGCAGAGCCAATAATGAAATCTGAGATGGTTACTGTGAACGAAAGGGAACATGTTAGCTTATTTCCTTACTGTTATATTTTCTGCTAATTTACTTATCTTGCAGACGTTTCTAATGATTTTAAGTAAGACATTTAATATAACAACTTTTTAGTTGATCTTTATACAGGAACAAGAAAATAAAGCGAAGCTAAAGCTCATTTTTATCTGCTCTTAAAATAACTTTAGTTCATTTAGTGAAGATGATAAAATTGGTTTGTACCTGAGTCTGGCTCTTCATCTGCAGGATGTGAATCATGGCTTTTCAGGAGGATGTTTGAAATGGTTAGAAGCAGGTGGGGGCGGGGGGTGGGGTGATATCTTGGAAATGATGTGGGGTGGAAATCTGGTTTGAAGTCAGAGAAAGAGAGAGAGTGATAGAGAAAGTCTAAGGAGGGGGGGTGAATGTGTATAGTAAAGGGGTGGTGGGAGTGGGGGGGTCCTAAGCCCTGCCCATATGATGCTGGAGGTTTTACTACAGCTTCCGTGATGTCATGGCAAAGGGCGGGGGAGGAGTAGGAGGGGGGTTTAGAGGGGAGGAGAGGGGCCGGGATGGAGGGAGGTGGGGGGTGGTACAATGGCTCATGAGGGAAAGGTAAGTCAATATTACGTTTTTTTTTTTTCTTCCTTCCTCCTCGCTGACAAAGGCAAATGAAGCCATGTTTTTGCTTACAAACATCTTAACGCGTGGATGCGGAGCCACGCGCCGCTGCGCTGCGTAAGGAGAGGCCGCTGCGACCTTCCGCCCGCTGATTCCTCATTCTGGAAACGGGATAGATGCTTTTTAAATCTTTACTTGGGATTTGTTTTAAAGCGAACAACTTGAGCCGCGCAGTAACTCAGAGGAGCTAAAAGCTGCGGATCGAATCGGATGCAGGTAACCAGAAATAAATGTGTGTTTGATGATTAGAGGCGGAAGGCTGTTTTTGGATAACTTTGCTTTTTGTGATGGATGATTTTTTGATTTTTAATTTATTTATTTTTTATTTTTTTTACATTTTTGGTTGAGGATTAGAACTTAAAATCAAACTTGAACCTTTTTTATGTGCGTTTCTGTTGCTCCGTTTAATTGGGAAACGATTTAAGCTTCAGGTAATTAATGATGAGGGGAAGCATGGCGCTGCTTTTCCAGATGCAGAGTGAAGCTGCGTGTTTATTCCACGCAGTTTATCAGCTGAAGCATCCTCTCTGCGTGTGAAAACCGGCCTTATTTCCCTTCCACTCAACGCGAACTTATCGGAGCGGCTCGCAGCTGAAGCGCGTCCCGTCCTCTAGTTTCACCTTCCGGATGTAGATCAGCGCCGCTCTCCTCCTCCGGCCGCTGCGCGGAGAGACGTGCCTGTTTGCAGGAGCTGCTGGGATGCTGAGCGCAAAGATGCATGGATGGATGGATGGAAGGATGGATGGATAGAGGGAGGGAGGGAGGGGTCTGCCATTTGATCCTCTGCAGCAAAAAAAAAACCAGATGCTCCTTTAAATGTCAGCCGCCTTTCATAGTGCGCAGAGAAAATCAAAAGTCCTCAGAAATAAGCCAAGCTTCTTTTCAGCGCGTTTCTCGGAGCGATTCAGCGGCTTTATGAGGACCCAGATCTTTTATTTGCTTTTATTTCTGTTCCCTTCTTCTCCTCCTCCCTCCTTCTTGCTTTGCTTACATGACCGCTTAATGTGCTCCGCGTGCGCCTCGCGGTTTGTCAAAGCACCTGCGTCCTAAGATGGAGGAAGGAGATGAAGGATGAGGATGAGGAGGATGCGTTATGTCACCGTAACTTTCCCGTCCATCCCATCAGGAAAACTTCTGCTGCGTTTCTTAGAAAACCCGTTTTTTTTAAAAAGATGCAGAAGTAGTTTTTTATTTATTTTGTTGCTGTGACGTTTCTGCTTTTCACGGTGACATTTTAGGCAGATTTCCAGCAGCTTCTACATGAACAGCTCTATGCATTTGGAGTTTGAACCTTTGTTTTCATCCTGCGGAGCAGAAACTGTTTCAACTGTGAAATACTGGAAAATGTTGTTATATTGAACTATGCGCTCAGTTCACTTAATTAGATTTTAACAAGTCATTCGCTCTAATTAGTTGATTTTGCTTCTGGTGTTTTAAAGAAATGAGTAGGATTAGGTTTTTCATTACTTCACATGTTAACAGAAATAAACTGGGAATGACGTCAGAAACCAGTCTGACCAGGCCAGATAACCATTAATCCCAGCAGCAGAGAGGAAGACGCAGACCAGTGAAAATAAATAGTTTTTAGCTGAAACTTTTACTGGTTTCTACCAGAAGCTTTAAAATGTTTGATTTTAGCTTTTGAAAACAATTCAAAGCTGCTTCAAACTTACATTTCTGTTCCTTTTATTGAGTTTCATTAAAAAGATGTTAATTTTAAGTTGCTTAAATGGTTCATTGTCTTTATTGGACTTTTTTATTTTCTTAAAAAAAATTAAAAAATGTTATTGAAGATTGTTTATTATCAGCAGCCCAGTTTCAGGGGATTTCAGAATTAGGTTATTGGTTTTTATGCTACAAGAAGAGGCCATAACTGCGGAGAAGAGAAGTTGCCTCTCTGCATCTTTTTGACGTTTAATTGTGGATGAGAGGACAGACGTCTCGTATTGGAGGAGGCCTGATGGTGAGGACAGCAGGTGCTGGAGGAGGGAGGGCCGTAAACATGTTGGAAGAGCAGCTGGGGCCAAACTGCTCCCTCCCTCCCAGAGCCGGTATCAGGAATCTAAGCAACACAAGCAGAGGTCAGGGTCGTACCATCAATGCAGAGAACGCATCCATGTCTGAAGAATGAGGGGAATGAAATGCATGCCGCGGTTCTGAAAGACAAATTAATAAAATAAAGCAGAAAAGGTCGTATGAGGCGTATAGAAATGTTTGGAGTTATGCAGCTCGTCCCTATAGTTGGTGTTCTGATGCTGAGGTTAGGATGATGTCATCTGAAACTCCAGTGACTCGTCCTTCCCCTTCATCTCCTCTCTGACTCGTTGCTGCTGAGCGTCTCTTTTGTTTTCAACCTTTTGGATGAAGATGAGGCCATGCCGCCGCCCAACTTTTGCCCCCTCCATCCCTGCTGTGGGCATCGCTGTAATCACACTAAGTTGTCTGTAAATCCTGCTCTCCGCCCAGAAGCCGGGCCGTACATCTGGACCTGCAGTAATACTGTTACTGACTGAACACCCTGGACTTTAATCTAACTCTGGATTTAGGCCTCTTGGCTCCATTGTCCCAGCAGAGTAAGCTCCACTCCTCTAATAGTATTACTTGACCCCAGAGTTGTTGTTTTTTTCCTCTTTGGATCAGGAATAAAATCTAAATTTATGGTTTTTATACATTTTGTTATTTCAGAAAAAGGAATTGGATTAAAAACATCCGGCAGTGAATTCTCCCTCATCTTGTATTCGTATCCCAACTGTTCCCTCCTCCGGAGCAAGGCCTCCCCAGTGAATGGCTAATTGTCTCGTGCTTCTCCAATTTTCTCTGCAATATAATGAGCTTTGTGTGTTTTAGGTGAGGATGAGCAGCATGTGATCAAACGGGAAGCAGGAGCTCTGATTAGTCTCCCTATTTGCACGGGGGTGGAATAAAAGCAGAGAGAAAAACAAAGGAGGGGTCACTTTGATCACTTTTGATGGTCTTTTTCTTGGATGTTTGAGAGTTCGTCGGCCTTCGTTTGTAAGCTGAGCTCCATCAGGCTGTCCTGAAAATCCCCCCTCACTTCTCAATCTAACACACGGTTGCTCCCCCCCCTCAGTAATAAAGTGCTTTGTGTGTCTGCAGAGACGGAGATAGCTGAGATAGAGATGCAGACCAACAGTATTGCTGCTGTAATCACTTTTTTCTGCTGGCAGATGAAAGTTGATAAACAAGCGTTTTCTGGGGAGTGCTGGCTGAGCTTCGGTGAGGTGAAGCAGAGAGGAGGGAACCAACAGAATCACATCCCCGCCTTCAGTTTGGGTTCACATACAGGACAGACCGGAGATGATAAAAGAGAAAAAAGACAACGTGGAGGAGAGAGGTCAGGGATGTGCACCTTCCTTCTTTTATGCAAAGCAGCTCAGAGAGCAAATCACTGCTTTCATTTTAGAGTCGGAATGTGCCACAATTTCCACAACCAGAACGATGCGCCGTAAAGATAAATACCGAGTCGCTTTAATTAACTGATCAATGGAGTGACCCAAACCTTGCTCCTTTGGAGTTTTGTTTCCCCTCAGATGTTCTTGCAGACAGACAAAAATAAAAAATAAAAAACAGTTTTGTTTAGCTTTGAGGAGTCACTGGAAACTCAAGGTTACTTCCTTCTTCACAATAACCAACACCTGCCTGCAGAGGTGCACCAACACCAGAAACATGAGCGCTAAAGCAGGAGATGGATCCTTGTCCCAAAAGGAGTCAGATTTCAAGGCACCAGCTGGGCCTGAAAACAGTGATACAGAGACAGGGGGGGGGGGGTGCATTAGATGAGAAGTTCAGCCTTGGGCGTTCATCGTTTAACGAACTGCACTCTGGCTGAACTTAAAGACGCAGCTTAGCTGTTAGATTTGTCACCTTCGTCTGCGGAGTCTTTAGGACCTCAGAGGGATGAGAGGAGTTGGGTTCTCCTGCGAGACGCCATCAGAAAGACGCCATCAGAAAGACGCCATCAGAAAGACGCCATCAGAAAGACGCCATCAGAAAGACGCCATCAGAAAGACGCCATCAGAAAG